TTTTGATCACTTGGAGAGTGAAGCAGCAAATGCAAGATTTTTTTTTTTCTCTCTCTCTCTCTCTCCCTCCTCTTCTGTAATTTTGCCTTTCAAGTAAGTAAAATAAATATTTAAAGAAAAAAAGGCGGGCCCGGCGCGGTGGCGCAAGTGGTTAAAGGTCCTCGCCTAGCACGCCCGGGATCCCATATGGGCGCCGGTTCTAATCCCGGCAGCCCCGCTTCCCTTCCAGCTCCCTGCCTGTGGCCTGGGAAAGCAGTCGAGGACGGCCCAAAGCTTTGGGACCCTGCACCCGCGTGGGAGACCCTGAAGAGGCTCCTGGCTTCGGATCGGCATAGCATCGGCCCGTTGCGCTCACTTGGGGAGTGAATCATCGGACGGAAGATCTTCCTCTCTGTCTCTCCTCTCTGTATATCCGCCTTTCCAATGAAAAAATAATAAAAATAAATCTTTAAAAAAAAAAAAAAAGAAAGAAAAAAAGGCAAAATAATGAGCTAGGCTACGGAGAACTTCATATGGCAATCTTTGACTTCCTCTGACAGGGATTGAAATCTGCTGGCGACTACCTGTATTGTCTGGCAATTTTACTCGCGCGTCCCCCTCCTCCTCACCTTGAGCCTTGAGATTCCTGAGGCAACAAAATTGTGTGATAATGCTATTGTTTTCAGTGATTGATTTGTGGGGGAAAGTATTGTGTATAGCAATTGATAACTAATATTGAATTCAAACCCTGCACATTTATCCTAACCCAGAATGCACTGCACAGCTGAAACTTGAATGTTCTGCTTATAATTTGAAAATTGCTAACTCTGTAGAAGGACAAATCTAAATCAGAATGAAAACGCAAAATGCAATAAATGCAATTCTTTTCACTTAAAAGTGGTAGTGGTCTAGCCTCTTTTAATCACTTCATTTCTTTTTTTATGAATTTTTTAATGTGTTATGACACCATTTAATAGGCACTGGGGTCTCCCTTCCTTCTCCCCATGCTCCCCCTCCCCCCACTGTACTCCTCTCCAGTCTTACAATGGGTATATTTCGTGAATTTCCTCAAGCCCATCATGCTGCCACTGAGGCGTCTCCCAACAGTGTAGATTGTTAGCCATATCGCTGTGAGTCCATCCTTGTACTGCACGCACGAGGACTGCAGCTATGAACATAGTAATTTCAGCTACACTTCTATTATGCATCCCTTCAGCACAGTCCACCTGAATCTTCATCCACGTGAGGTTGACAAACATATAACAAAGGTATCAATGTGATGCTAGGGTAGAACAAAAGAATATCCAGCATCCTCACGTAGGAACACACGCCAGTGTGTGTCCCGTGCACTGACGAGAGTGCAGTAAGGACTAGACCTTCCTTACTCCTGGGAAGTAGCCAGAACAGTGATAAAAGGGACATTGACAATCTCGGGTGATGACACGCAATCAGTCTCTTACGGATGATTGATTAATGGATTTTATTACTCTGAATCCCCCCATGTTCATTAATTAAGGGCATACAAGTTGTCCCTTTAAATAACTTATTTATACTGATATATATATATATATATGCATTTAGATTATGCCAGATTAAACACAGACTGCCTAGGTCAAATTGGATATATTATATGTTAAATCTAACATGAAATTATACTTTACAAATCTTAAGGAACATTGGTTTGTGTCCACACCGTGGTGAATGAAGACTGACAGCTTTGGATTTCCCACAAAACAACTCTGTTCTTGTGTAGCAATATAATGAAATCAAAAGGCTGGAAAGGCTATTTCAAAGCCTTTTTTGAGGTCATGCAACTACATTCTCGCTTGAAGGAATGGCAGGGAAGTGATGTGTGAACTTCTGTGTCACTTGTGTCATAGAAAATCACTGCTCAAGACACTTGCCATCCGTCCCTTTTCAGGTGCTGGACCCCAGAGTTGCCCACAGTCCAGCTCCAACCATGAGAAAGAGGGCAATGATTTAGGGATTTGTTCGAGGGCACGTTGGAGTAATAAGATGAAAAGAACCCAAGCCATGGATTGGAGCTAGGGAACGGAGCATCCAACCAACTTAAACTGCTCGGGGTGGAGGAGGAGTCTATATTCCTTAATCTACTCTATCTCTGGATTGTTTTGTTACAGCAGCTTAACCTTTACCCCAATTAACACATCCATCACCTACTTCTTTAAATTACAACATCCAGTAATTGCTACATATGTACAAATGAGCAAGGTGTTAATCACCGGATTTCTCCCTGGGGAAAAGGTAGTAAAATGAATTTCTCCCACCCAGGATTAGTAAGAAACTATAGAACAACTACATGTAGTCTTCTAACACATGTTTTTTTCTATTCTATTTTCTTAGGATACTAATTGACAGTCCTACACCAGTACTGCAAACCTACAACACCCTCCCACTTTTTAAAGATGTGATTTCTGTTAGCTTGGCCGGGACATTGATGAAATTTAGCAGGAAAGCTCTGTGGAATCATACCTACCACTATGGACCAGTCACAGGCTGCTAGGTCTTCTGTAAGATGTTTGGAGCCCAGTCGCCCGGAGGAGTCTTTCTGAACAGAACGACTCTGTCCCCTACGGAGTGATGATCTCATCAGCGTCTTACAGATAGCTAAGATTTTCATAGGAACCTGAAAGCACGATGTCTCAGCCACTTGTCTCTGATGACATCATGAGTCACCAGGAGCTGGAATCACTGTTGGATCCTCCCCCCGAGGAGATAATATGGTCTGAAAATCCAGTTCTTGGCTCTTACTCTTCTCCTGAGTGGGCCTTGTTTTCCCCACCTCTTCTTCCTCCTGGGGAGAAAGAACATTGGAAACACTAAATTTGGAAGATTCGTGATGCAGGTACCTCCCTGTAAGAACACATTTTTTTTTTTTTGGAATTTTGTTTTGCAAATATTTAACTTATATAAATGAATTTATATAAAATGAAGCGATTTGATGTGTTTCACAACACTGATTTAACAGCATAGTGACACTTCCCACCCTCATATCTGGAGAACACATGTCTTATTTTTACATCGTTATTTTATTTTTACTTGAAAACGCTAAAGATGAGAGACAGCTAGAACCTTCCACCCCTGGTTCTTTCTCCAAATAGCTGCAATGGGTGGAGCTGGACCAATAAAAAAAAATAGGACCCACTAGCTTCTTCCAGCTCTCCCATGTGAATGCAAGGACCCAAGGACTTGAGCCATCCTCCACTGCTTTCCCAGTCCATAAGCAAGGAGCTGCCCATCAGAGGCAAAGCAGCCAGGACTCCAACAGTGCCCATATGGGATCCTAGTACCACAGGTGGAGGCTTAGTCCACTATGCCACTTGCGCCAGTTCTGGAGAATACATTTCTTTAACACATAACCAAAACAGGTCCTCAACTAATACAACTCCAGTTTTTTAAAACACGGTTTTGTTTATTTTTATTGGAAAGATAGATTTACAGAGAAAAAGATCTTTCATCCATTGGTTCATTCCCCAAGTGGCCACAACAGCCAGAGCTGAGCCAGTCTGAAGCCAGGGACCAGGAGCTTCTTCCTGGTCTCTCATGTGGATGTAGGGTCCTAAGGCTTTGAGCCATCCTCAACTGCTTTCACAGGTCACAAGCAGGGAGCTGGATGGAAAGTGGAGCAGATGGGACATGAACTGGCATCCATATGGGATCCCAGCTACCATGCCAGATCCCAACTCCAGTTTTTAAAACTAAACCACAGGGTTTGGTGCCCATATGCATAAATGCACAAATGACAGCCACCAGGCCTGGAGAGACAGGCTCCTGGGTCCTGAGTCTGACCAAGCTGGGGTGTGCAACAGCTCCTAGACTGTTAGAGGAAAAACACTGTCTCCCAAGCGTTTCACAGCTCTCAGCCACTCTGGCCTCGTTTCCCACACAGGAAACAAGGAATGCAGAAACTGGAGCAGGAAGGAGACCACATCATCCCTGGAAGATGCATCCCAAAGACTTGCGGGCCCACAGGGACATGAGCATAAACAAGGCTGTGGCAGGAGTTACTTCATGGTCATTTGTGCAACCAAACAGCAGGTTTTGCACGGTCCCCCAGGCGCTAGTCGCGTGCTGCAGGCTGAGGACTGAACTGCACTTTTGATGCAGGTAGACACCTGGGCCTGGTTGGTCTGTTGCTTCTGACTCCATGCCGCTGCAGTGCCCAAGTCCTCCGGGTGGGAGGACACGCAGCCGAGGCAGCCTGCTCAATGTGTGCAGGTAGACCCCTCTGCGAATCTTCAATCACTTCGATCTCTTAGGACCTGAAGTTCCAGCGTTGCCACGTTCCACCTTCTTGTGTCTTTGCTTGAACAGGGGCAGAATGGGAAGCAAATAAGCAGCTTCGTTGGCAGAACATGCAATCTTTCCCCACCCACTCCACAGTGCTCCCCAGTTGCCATCCCACATGGGTGAGGGCAGCAACGCAGAGGGTGACTCGGAGTCCACCCGGACCTCCCAAGTTCTTGAGCAAGGTCAAGGTGTTGCAGCCTCCAGGGAAACGTTCTCTCATAAAGTTCGGAAAGAACTTGGGGTTTTCCCTACACGAAAATTTCTGCAGGAAGCAGTGATGGGAAGGGGCGTGCTGTCTGTGGAGAATGGATCAAATCTTAAAGGGGAATACCGCTTTGCGATTCCTCCCCACCCCCAACCCCTTGGCACGCTATGGGATGAATTCGCGCAGGTGCACTTCTGCTCCCAGTCCCCTTTCAAAGTCAGGACTGCAGCCCACCAGGGAGGCGTGCGGGTGCGGCGGCGCGGAAAGAGGCGCGGCTCAGGCACCTGCGCTGCTCCACCCAGTTTCGAGCGAGTCCAAAGGCAGGCAGGCCGGACGCTCGCGGCCGCCCGAGCCCGCAAGGAGGAAGAGGAAGAGGTGGAGAGGGGTGGGGGCATAGGGAGGGCGTGCCTTGCGCAAGGTGGAGGCGGACACCTGGGAGCCACGCTTGAAGGGCCGGCGCTAGGGCCTGGGCAGCACACCTGTTCGCTGGCGCCCTCCGCCCCGGGTGCCGAGTGGGCGTGTGCGGAGCCCGAGGCGCGGGGCGAGAGGCGGGCGCGGGCCCGGCTAGCTGTGGCGGAGGCTGCGGTGCGGCGGAGCACAGCCTAGGCTCGCCATGGCGGAGCTGCTGTGGAGTCTGCAGGATTCCCAGCTCGTGGCCCGCTTCCAGCGCTGTTGCGGGCTCTTCCCAGCGCCGGATGAAGGCCCCCGGGAGAGCAGCGCGGGCCCCTCGGAGGGCGAGACGCCGGCCCACGGGGTCGGGCATCTCCCCTGCGCCAACGGCAAAGGCGGCGGGGGGCCGCCCAACGGGCTGCGGAGAGACGCGGCCCCGCAGGTAACCGCGGGCAGGTGTTCGTCGGGGAGGGAGGAGGGGGCAGCCGCCCGGATGCCGTGGCAGGTGCGGATCTCAGAGTTGCGGGACGCCGGTTATAGGGTGCACCGTGCCAGGCGGGCCAAGACGGCACAGCCCCGGCAGCCACTCTGCTTGGGCCGCCGTGCGTACAAGAGGAAGCCGCGGCAGTGCGGTGTGGGGGTGGGGGGTCCAGCACCTAGGATGCCACCACCCCCTATCGCTGTGGAGGGTCCGCCGGGGCGCCTCACACTTTGCGGCCAGAGTCTCGAACTGCAGCGTCTGCTTGCGGACGCTTCACCGCAGTAGTCAGATTGGTGCTCCGGTGCATTCTACCAAGTATGAGAGTTACATAATTGCAAAGAACGGAGATGGCCTTGGCGCTTCCACGGGGAGAAATCCTGACATTTCCCCGGTTACTCCTGAGTTTCCGCCCGGCTGCGCTCCCCTGGTCGGTGCACGTAGGATCCAGCGGTGCGTTCTCCACCGCTCAGTGCCAGCAGCTTTGCGGGCTGAACGTGGGGTCTCTTGATGCTGAGGAAAGCGACACCCTCCCAGGCCGCCACCCCCTCCTGCGTCAGTGAGTGTCCGCCCCTACCTCGTGCCATCCGGAGTCCTGGGGTCCCTGATGCTTGGCCAGAGACCTTAAGTGAACTGGAGTGATGCTCTCTGGGGGCCACTGCGGCTCTGAGGACAGCAGCAGTGCGCAGGGACCACAGGCGGGAAGGGCCAGGCGGGCTGCAGATGGCTGCCCAGGAGGCATTGGCACCGGCCTCACCCAACGCTGCCCCTTCCCTAGGCAAAGTGAAAAGTGTGCCAACGAGGCAAGAAGCCCTTTGCTGAGCCGTTCTAATACCTCCTTGTAATGCCACATTCTGTTCTTCCTAGAATGTTTTGGTGACATTTGCTTATGTGTAGAATTGTAACTCTGTTGACAAGAATTATGGGCCATTAGGAGCGCTGAGTTATAGGATTCATTTAGGGGGTGAGTTTCACTGCAGAAAAATCTTCTATAATATTTTCCTTTAAATTATTCCTTCTCAGCTACACCTGGCATTCTATTAGTTTTAAAATGAGTTTGAGACCACCTTCTTTTCCAGCAGCGTTATCTTAGAAAGGGAGTGGATTGTGGAGGGGCAGAGGGGTGATGGTGGCAAGAAGCAGTCCCCTGCTTGCTGCCATTCCCCTGTCTGTGCTCCTGTCTGTGGCATCTTCTGTGCACACGGCTGTGTGCACCTGCAGGTACCAGTGCTTGTACTGCACTCTGTTCTGTTCTCCAGCCACCTCCCTTCTCAAGCCTTTCTGATTCCGGAGGCTGGAAGGGCATGTGTGCGCCTGTTTCTTGATGATGATGCTTTCAATTCCGGAGAAGTCTCCGGTTTCCCCTTTAAAGCCAAGCTAAGTGCTCTCCTGCAGGAGAATGCTTCTGCTGCTTAGGGGTGTGTGGGTCTTCCATGAGGCAAATGGCAGGAGTGTCCCCGGTCCCCCTCCAGTGTGGAACTTTTACTCACTGTCCATCATGCAAAAGAGAGAGCTAAAAATACGAGATCACAGATCGCTGTGTTGGGGGATAAGGAGGGGAAAAGTGAACCTGAGAGCATTAGATGCATGAGCCATTTCTGAATGTTTTGAAAGGTGAACCAGCTTCAAATGACTTAGTAAGACGAACATGTTACAAACACGTGCAGAATTCTACGCCCCCCTCCAGATGGTTGCATGCAGACACACTCCAGAGAGCTCATAGGAATCTGGGGACATGCCCCGCTCCAGCTGCCTCTCACGCTTCTCCCACTCTGCAGTTTTCAAAGGTCGGTTCCTCAGGATGAGCTTCTGCTGTCTCCCTACATGAGGCTCTCTGCTTCTTTTGCTTTTTCCTTTTTAGTGTTTATCACATTGTGTGAACATGTCCAGGTGTGAATATGTGATAACCTGCAGCCTCCTGCCGTGGGTGGGAAGCTCCAAGGATGCAAAAAACTTGTGTCTTCCTGCCCATTATTTTCCTCCCAGAGCCAACTCCTTGAGTATTAGTAGCTCAGTGAGTTTTATGAACCTATGACTGCAAGTTACAGTAAAAAAAAAAAATAGTTTTTTTAAAAAACTAAACAGTAAATATTGAAAATAAAATATCAAATGGTCTTTCTCCCACTTTGCTTAGAAGTCAGTCCTGGAACACTGATTGAAGAACCCTTCGAATAATAGAGGCGTTGTTTTCTTCATTTACGTGATTTTAGATCTCAATGAATTTGATTCACTTTCCACATTTTTCAGTGTTTATTTTAGTCCTTGAAACTGGACAAGCGAGGAAACGATTGAGGGCTTTCAAATTCTTGTAACCACATGCTGTAAGCTTAAAGATTAACTACATCTTTTGCTAACCAGGACTGGACTGGGCTTACACAAACCTGTTGTTGAATACTTTAGATTGGGCCTTAGAGAATGCCTGGTACTCATGAAATTTCCCAAAATTTCTACAGGGTTAAGTCACTTGTGGAGGACTTTCCAGATATCATACAGTCAAGAGAAGCCAGAGCTTTTGACTCTCAGATCTAAACTTTCCACTTTGCAGCTTCCAGGGGGAAAGGTCCAGAACCTAAGTCACGGAGGTGTGAGGTGTTAATGCAGGTTAGACCTCAGAGAAAGCACACGTGTGGCTTCTTACCAGAAAGAGGGCATTCCTGGGAAAGAGGGATCCTGGGACAGGGCTAGGAAAGTGGAGGTATCACCAGAATTGTGCCAACTTGTTCTGGAATAAAGCCGGTTTTGATTTCTAACATCTATGCTTACCCAGTAGAGTTGGGTTTACGCTTTGAGGTCCCATTCCCCGTCTTCATTTTAGACTGGAGATCATCTTTCCTGATATTGTTCTGGTCAATAAAGGCTTTGTGAGAACAGCTCAGACACACTTCTAAGGTTGGGTTGGGGAGGAGATCAGAGATTGTTTGTTTGTAAAAGTCTTTGTACTCCTCATTTCCCGCTTGAAAAAACCGCCTCCCTCTAAGCCTGTTGTTCTACAAAACGCCAACTTTGATTTTGTTGGCTGGCTGAAGTGCAAAAAGTGTATGCAGAACATCAGCAGGCTTGGATTGGCTCAGTCTCTGAGCCTCAGTTTCCCCCAGAAGCAACAGGATCAGAAGGGAAGAAAAGCATGGCTTACCAGCTGTGTCTGCTTTGTAATCACCTAGAGGACCTTTAGAACCGGAGGAGCAATGTGCAGGGTACAGGTCTAAGGTGTGGCCTGGAGATGGTAGACAGCAATGACAAGTTCTGAGTTCCCTTCCCCTGAGGATCACCACTCTGTGTTATGAGAGAGCGAAGTGATGGCTAAAGGCGGTGGTCACTTCAGCTGTGACGCTTTAGCTTCATTCTAACGAAACCAGCCATCAGAGCAAACAACCAGCTCTAGTTATATTTAGAAGATTGTCAGGGTTTGAAATGGCAGATAGGCTACTTTGAAAATGTCCACCTGAACTTTTTTTTCTACAAACAGGTGGCATCATTATTCATTAACTTGGAAAAATATCGAGAAAAAGCCAAGTCTACACATTGTTTCATGGTCAAAGATGATTATTCAGTAAGTGTACAACCTGATTTTTAATAGTCGCACAGCACCAAATAGCATATCCATGAAAACCTTAAAGGCCTTTTCTTAGGCTTTCAATTTATTCTCAGTTTTTACATTAAGAGATTATAACATCTGGGATAGATGTTGTGGCACAGCACATTAAGTTGCTGCTTGAGAGGCCCTCATCCCATACTGGAGTGCCAGTTTGAGTCTTGGCAGCTCTGATCCCCACCGGTCTCTTGCTGCTGCATTCTCGTATGTAACGGGTGATAGCCCAAGCAGGTGGGTTCCTGCCACCATCCTGGGAGACCTGAATGTCCTCGCAGCTTTTGGCTTCACCTTGGCCCTGCCCTGGCTATTGTGGGCAGATGAGAGCTCTCTCTCTCTCTCTTCCTCTCTCTCTTGCTTTTTTTTTTCCACTTAAAAATAGGCTTGCATAGATAAGAATGTTTCCACGTCTTTGATTATCTCCTAATTTATATTTCCAGATGCAGAATTACTAAGTGAAAAATATGCACATCGTATGACTTCTAGTAGACAAGTCGCCCTTCAAGAAGGCTGTAGTAGGATGAACAGCTGTGAGAGCAAGTTTCCCCCTTTTTTTTAAATCCTTGAAGAAAATCATCTTCTCTAGATCTATAGATGTCTACCTTTATTCACCTTTGCTTTCTTGATTTCCATCCCACATCGGTTGATAAACCACTCTGATTCTGGTACAATCCTCAGAGATATACAGAGAAAGTAAAATTTAGATTCCTGCTCTGGGAAGCTCAAATAAAGCAATGCAGACAGAAGGTTCACCATGGGGTCAGACGAACAGAAGGAGAAACTCCCTTTGCTCGGGGAGCTCCATGAATAAGGAGGGGAGACTTAAAACTGGAATGGAAATCAGTAAGGATTGGTGGCTGAGGAGTATGGGGATGGCTCTGGTGATGGCTGCACTGCTACGGTGACAGCAAAATTAAAAAAAGCAAACCCTGCATTGTATAATTTAAATGGGATAATTGTGTGGGATGTGACTATCGCAATAAAGCTGTTCTTGAATTAAAGAGAGAAAAAAACTGAATGGACATCCAGCAGATGAAAGTAGGAGAAGCACTAGTTCCTGTGATTTTTGTTGTGCCAAAACAAACACGTGGGTATCAGTTTTGGTGGATGGTAACAAGTTCAGCTCTGTTATCACTCAGAGTTGCAGAAAGAAATAGCTTGCTTGAAACACTGGAAGAATAGTGATAAATTTTATGTATATTTTATTTGAACTACACCATTATGGAGGGGAAGCATAACTCCCCATTTCTTTCTCTCTTTTTTTTTTTTAAGATTTATTTATTTATTTTGCAAAGTCAGATACAGAGAGGAGGAGGGAAGGAGAGGAAGATCTTCCATCCAATGATCCACTCTCCAAATGACCACAGGGGTTGGA